CCCATCCCCACCCCCACCCCGGGGCCTCGGAGCCAAGACCAAACTGAGGACCCGGCGCCGAGCCCCGGCTGGGCCAAGTCGGATCGGACCGGGGCTCCCGGCCTCTCCCCCCGCGGGCCGGCGCGAGACTCACCAGGGCAGAGCAGGGGCCGGCAGCCTGGGCCCGTGAGAATCAGCGCGAGGCGCTTTGAAAACGACTAGAAATGGCGCGCGCGCCACCCCCACCCCCCCCTCACGGACAGAGATGCGATCCCGGCAGCACACGGGGTTTCCCGGAACTGCTTCCAGGGACTCCGAGGTGCTGGGCAATCACATTGCGTGGCGACCTGAGGAACAGCTCAGTCGACCAATCACAGTGAGAAGAAGCGGACGAAGCCGGGCGACCCGACAGCCAATCAGTGAAGCCGTCGGTTGAACCAATGAGGATCCTCAGCGCCGCTGGCTGAGGCGCCTCCGGGGCGGGGGCAGGCACACAAAGGGGTCTATGGTGGAAGCCTCGGTGTCGTTGAGGCTGCGGCGCACCTGGCCATGGTTGGCGGAGGCTCCTCCTTCTTCGTCCGCCGCCTCAGAGAGGCCAAAAACTTAGACCTTGCGCCGCTTGGCCATCTCGGAAACCCCGCCCCCTACCGTCCGCGCCAGGCTCGAGCCGCCATGGCGCTCCCGCCCTTTCGCCGGTGCTCGGTCGCTTGGCTGCCCACGTTTGCCCTAGACACGCCCATCGCCACGCGCTCGGGCCTCTGGCTAGGTTTTTTCAGCCCTAAGTAGAACACGATTTAAGGGTGATTTGGCACATTTTTTTGCTAGAAATTTTCGCATAGAAAATCATCCCATTAGCTTGCCTCTTTGGCTCCCTTCCCGACAACATTTGTAGCAGCTCAGAATTTGAGGGAAATCACTAGTTCAATGTCAAGAACAAATGATAGAGAAGAGCCATATTATCTCACGGAGTCTGGGCCTAGTTAATAATCTCAAAGTAGATAGGGCAGATTATTCATCTATAAAGCCGAAAGAGCCTTGCCTTCTCTCTCTCCACTTATAGAGCAGGTCTCCTTCCACAGAAACCGTCCAAGTTCACTTCTGTAGAATGAGTTCTGCCTTGCCTATCCCAACTTCTAAATTCTAATGGCCACTCTTTAAGGAGTGGAGGAGGTTAAACAGTGGTCTGTAGGATCGCCTGATGATTTAAATGTCCCAGAATGCATAAAGCAAAAAATTAACGAAAACCTAATGGGTGCTCAGTACCAAGCAAGATGCTGAGGTTTTTTTGGTGCTATGGGGGATAAAATGTATTCAATGTTAGGACCCTGAAGAAAATTAACACAAAATGACAGGTGTAGGAGCCTTGGAAGTGCTTGTTTGTAAAAGTGAAGATTCCAAAGATTAAGCTTCATTACCAGTTGCCCTTGAATCTCGTAAACCCTATAGAGCAGATTTCTATAGGCTTTCCAAGGCTATAATCATTAGGGGAGCTGACTGCCGGATTTTTCTCCCAGGGTGTAGCTAGTGCACAAAACAGACCTTTTGGTTAGCTTCACTGTGCCACCAGGACAATTTTAAACTCTACTCAGTTCACATAAATCTGACTCAAGGGTTTTCAATGTTTGTGCCATAACATTGGTGGTTAGTGGTTCACCAGCTGATTCCAACTCATGGTGATCCCACCTGTTAAATAAAGACCTGCCCCATAAGAGTTTTCTGGGCATCCTCACTCAGTGACGTGGAGTTGATTCCAACTGAGAACAACCCTGAACAGAGTAGAACTGCCCTGTGAGTTTCCAAGGGTGTAAATCTTTTTGGGACTAGAAAACCTAATCTTTCTCCAAGGTAGTTACTGTCACTGTAAATCAGACCCAACTGGAAGGCAATTGGTAAAAATCTTTTTTTTTTTCTTTTCTTTTTTTTAGGGAAAAGAAAGGCTTTATTTAGACAAACAGGTGCTAGTCATTTCTGTGTGTTTCTGGACATCAACCAAGAGTTGGTTCTGGTTAAAGGTAGCTTGTCCTTCCTCTCTTCTGCAAGAACTCTTCCTCCTCCTCCTCCTCCTCCTCCCCTGAAAGTTTGTTTTCAATTGGGTGGTGTTCTTCCCTCTTCCCTGGTAAAAATCTTAAAGAGGCAAATTGCCACACCCTTTCTTCCACAGTACTGTCGGATGGGTTCACCCGGCCAACTTTTGGGTTAGCAGTCTAGCGCAAACCATTTGAGCCACCTTTGTGTTGAGTGGGTGCCATAAGAGGTGACAATGTATGATAAAAAGTAGTACTAGTGAGTTAGTTAACCAATCTGTAAATATCTTTTTGCTATGATTTATAAAAGCATCTTGAACATGGAATTATTAATCCACCTTTGGGCAGTATGCATCAAGATTGGTTAGGTTGGTGGCGGCAGGACGTGCAAGGGGAGAGGTGTATGCAAGCCTGTGCCTGTGTTTGC